GTACTTTAAATGGCCCAATCTCACTGATTTGCTTTTTTTTTTTTTTTGATCTCAGTCCTCTAACACCTTTTCTTCCAGAAGAGCTTAAAGCAACGCCTGGGTAAGAGTAACATCCAGGCACGTTTAGGCCGGCCCATAGGTGCCCTGGCCAGGGGGGCAATTGGAGGAAGAGGCCTACCCATAATCCAGAGAGGCTTGCCCCGAGGAGGACTGCGTGGGGGACGTGCCACCAGAACCCTGCTTAGGGGCGGGATGTCACTCCGAGGTCAGTGTTTTGTTATCTGATAATGGCTGGGCTCTATCCTCTTCCCCTTTCTCTTGGGCTGCTTATCAACACATTTGTTTAGCATCTTTAATCCTGGATTTGTTTTAATAAATAACTTTTGAAATCACATTTTTAGTACTGCTGCATGTGTTTTACCAATATCATTCCTTTTCTGATAATGTGCAATGGTGGGAGGCTGTGACCTACATAACAACAGGTAATCCATGTCATCTCCATTCCATTCTAAAACACCTGCTGCTGCTTGAAACAGAGCATATTCAAGTTCTAGCAGTAAGTCTTAAGAAATGTGTGGTTAGCATGTGCAAGGCCCTGGGTTGAATATCCTCAATACCAAGAGAGAGAAAAAATGTGGGTCTTTTGGCCCATGTCATGACTAACTATGACTAATCTGTGTCCTGAAAATGATTAATCTGGAAGAGAGGGGACAGTTCGATCCATAGCGCCTGCCTATCTGTAGCAAACCCTTTGAATACTGTTCCCTTTATAATACTCTTGCCCACTTTAAAATGTATTGAAAGCAAGAATCATAGCATTTATTTTTAAATCTACCACATTACTAGGCATCTGATTGTTAACTTATTAAATGTATGAACTTAAGTCCCAGCTTATGGTCAGAATTACTGACCTGAATAAAGAGCTGTTTTGTTTAACCATTCACACACACTGTGCAGTTTGCCCCACCCAGACTAAAAATTAACTAATCTTATTTAACCATCACCCACCTTCCTTTGGTTAGATCTACTTTGTCTCTCTTGGATTTACCTGCATATACATTGTATACCTCCTCTCCAAGGTCAAAACCTGCTGCGAGGTGGACGAGCCGTAGCTCCCCGAATGGGCTTAAGAAGAGGTGGTGTTCGAGGTCGTGGAGGTCCTGGGAGAGGGGGCCTAGGGCGTGGAGCTATGGGTCGTGGCGGAATCGGTGGTAGAGGTTAGTCAGCTACCAACTTCAGAGAGTAGCTCCCTCATTTTCCTTCCTTCAAAACTCAGAGCTACCTTTCTGCACAGCTTCAAGTCACAGGCAGGCTTGTTTGTTTGTCTTGTTCGTTTTTTTGAGACTGGCTTATTTTCTAAATTCACGTGGTGATAATGCAAACATCTGTTAGGATTTAGAGTCAGGTACATTTTCCAGAGTCACATTTTAGGCATTCTTCTCTATACTCTTAGGAATTTAAGTTGTATTAAAATGATGCAATGATCAGTTTGGGATTTTTCCTTTTTCTGTATTTGCCTGCGGCCACCACCACCACCTTTACACACCCATCCCAAAGCCCAAAACCCAGTTGAACTTAGAGAAGTAGAACTAAGATGAAGGGAAGTAAAGAACACTGACCTAGCATGTGTGGGCCCTGGGTTCAATCTCACACCATAGAAACAAAAATAAGAGGGGAATGCAAAAGTGAGACAAAGATAAAGAAGAATGGTAAGAGGCAGAGAACAGAGCTCAGTGGGAAGCATGTGCTTAGTGTGGGTGAGACTAGATTCAGTCCAGCAGCACCATGAGGTAGTGGGATGAGGTCTAGCACCTATTGTTGCCTTTAAAACCAGGTAAATTTAACAGAGGCTTTGTGTCTTTTAAGAACCAGAGACAGTTTTACTGATCAAAGTTGAAAGTCAGAAGTGGTGCTTACTACCAGTTAGCCCCTGACCGTTGTTCGTAATCTTAGCTTTGGTGCCTTGATTTTTGTCTTGTGACCTCACGGACCAGATTAGAAAAGAGTTTAATAATGGTGGTGGCAGTACCAAATTTCATTGGGCCTTTCTGGTTTATTGCTAAATAAGAAACTCCTAACAAATGCTAGCATGAAACATCTTGCTCTTGCAGCCCTGTGGATATTTTTCTCATTCTTTCTAAAATGCGGGGTGGGCCTTCATAATCCACAGTCCTTCAGGTACTGAAGAGTAACTTAGGAATGGACATTTGATAACAAAGTTTTTATTTTCTTCTCTGCCATTATGTGTCACTTGGCTTATTGGATGAAGAAGGAGCTTATATGGGTTTCAGGATAAGATAGAATGTTTCCAGATTGTATTGACATGGTTTCTGAGAGGGACTTCAGAGGTTAGGAAAAACTAAAGTTGCTTTTGAGAAAGTTGAGTGTTTGGTTAGTAAATTGAAATTACTTCTCAAGATAATAGTTGTCCTAAGGTGGCCAGTCAGAGAAGTAGCTAAGTTTTTTCAGTCTTTGGATACAAGAAATCACTTCAGTAGACCTAATAAATTTAGAGCAGTTGAGGTGACAGTCCATAATGTCTCAAGTTAAGCTTCATGTGAATACCCTTGATTCTCTGTGCCCTTTGACTGCCTCCTAACAAACTAGAATAATACATTTTAATTATGAGTTTACAATAAGTCCCAAACTTTAGGTCATTCCTTTGTTCTAGGGGAGGTTCATGTGTAAGATTTTTCAGCTAATACTACACACCTGTAATCCCAGGAACTGGGAGGCTCTTGTTTTGTTTTTGAGACAGGTCCTTCTGTACCCCTGGCTTTGAAGTTCGATTCTGATCCCCTGCTTTTGCCTCCCAGATACTAGAATTACAGGCGTCCATTATATGGTGCTGAGGATTGAACCCAGGGCTTCGTGCATACTAGACAAGCACCCTACCAACCAAGCTACACTCCAGCCCAGGAGTCTTAAGATGAAGGCTAGCTGGTCTGCATGACAAGACCCTGTGTCAGGGGGGGGGGGGGGGGGGGGAAGGTTTTTTTTCTTTAGTAGCATTTAGAGAGGAATACTTAAAAGGGACTCATTGTGTGTGCTTTCCATGTGTTGCTTTTACCCAGTATGTTTCTTTTTTTTTTTTTTTTTTTTTTTCCAGATTTCTCCTCTTTGCCCTTTCCTTGAGCTTGTCTCAGCTAGGCCCACAACTATAAAGGGGCACTCTTCTAAGACCCATCAAACTGGTGTGTAACTGCCTTTTTTTTCCCCTCCCCTCTTCTCATTTGGCCAGGTCGGGGTATGATAGGTCGAGGAAGAGGGGCCTTTGGAGGCAGAGGTCGAGGTCGTGGCCGAGGGAGAGGTGCCCTCACTCGCCCTGTATTGACCAAGGAGCAGCTGGACAACCAGTTGGATGCATACATGTCGAAAACTAAAGGACACCTGGATGCTGAATTGGATGCCTACATGGCACAGACAGATCCTGAAACCAATGATTGAAGCCTGCCTGCCCGCCTGCTAGACTCTTGTTAAAGTCACATCTATAAAACAACTGAGAGAAAACAGGAGAAGCCTGATTGATGCTGGAAGGGCCTGTCACAATAGGATGTGGACTTACCTGCCACCACTTGGTGCATTTAGTCTGTTCCGTCTACTTTTTGATACTGTGTTCTATGAAACCCTACTTCCTTTCATTTGGTTGAGTTTGTTTTCTTGTTTATCCAGTCACCCAGACTTGTGTTTGAACAGGAATGCATTGGCCTTGTGAGTAGAGCAATTTTCCAGCCTCGGTCTCACCTGTCATATACTCTTGACATTTTACAATATTTCTTCTGTTCATTTTAATGAACATTTTCTGATCCCAGAAGGAGCCAGTGTTCTCACTAACACTGGGATAGAATCCTGCATCTTCTTTAAAAGCTTCATCTTAATAGCTGGAGCTAGAGGTGTGTTTGCTATGTTGATAGTGAACGTGGTAAATTGGAAATGTTGGTGTTGCTCCTGGGCCACAGAATGGGTTTACACATAACAACTTGGATTTGGTTAAAGTTGCTGTGACCTGCATTGAAACCGCATAAATGGTAGCTGACAAGCCAAGTTGGGCATGTATAATTTCCACCCTAAAATAAGATTTTTATGCTTTCCTTTTGGCTTTGTGTCATGTCCAAGAGGTTTGTGCACTTCTAGCATAGAAGGAGTTATTTGGTGTGGCAGAAGAGACAGGGTGGAATACTGGTTACCAACTGACTGGCTGAGAAAGGGTCATACGCTGCTCGTGCTGAAATGCAGTTACCCATGTTTGTCCAGAACCAATCTTGATCTAATCTACTTAACTGGCTTTATTTGACCCTCTTGAAGGTTTAAGTTCAATCATTTTGTCAGCCATTCAGTGAATCTTGTATTTCTGGTTCATTATAACAGATTGTTCTCTCAAATTTAACCCAGGCTTTCTGTTTGTTTTTTGGGTTCCTTAAATGCTGTATAACCATTTGGTGGTGTGTTAATATGTCCCTTGTATAGTTGAAAGTTCTTGTGTTAAAATTCCTGGGTTAGGATGAGGTAGGTGATTCACACCTTTGATCCCAGCATTTGGGAGGCAGAGGATCTCTTGAGTTCCATGGCTAGCCTTGTCTACAAAGCTACCAGGATAGCCGGGGCTACAAACAAACCCTCTCTCAAGAAAGAAACAAATACTCCAGGGATGGGGAAAAGGTGGCTTAGTGTTAGAAAGTAAAACTTATGCTCTCCTTTGAGAAAGCCCTTAAGATTTACCCACCTAGAACTAATGGATTACATCGTTGGTTTTTGCTGTTTAAAAGATCACAGCCCACTTACTGTGCTGTGCTGTGCAGGTACCTACAGGAAGGAAATACTGACTGAATTTGAATCCTTACTTTCTTGGGGTGGAGAGTCTGTGGGACCCAGGGGAGATAGACTCTGGTGAGCAAGGGTACATCTCAGTAAAGAGTGGTGACTATAGTCTAGACCCTGATTCTACCACCTGTCGCCCTACTTCATCAGTTCCCCTACCAACCATAGCCCCTCAGCCCCACCTGCTGTATACAGTTCTCAGGATCTCTGAAGGCCTGATGTCCTCATTTTATGGTAATGCCTCAGGTGGACTAGACAGCAAATTGATTCCTGGCCAGCCTTTGAGGTCTACTCAGTTGCCATCTACTGAGGACTTGCATTCCAGAACCAGCCAGGAGAAAAAGATCTAACCAACTAGAGCTTTACTGAGATCTGAAGCTCAGGGAAATTTGAAGACAGGAAGGAAGAGTCAGGACAAGAGCAAAATAGCCAGTTTGTAATCTCAGCATACAAGTTTGAGGCTAGCCTGAGCTGTGTGTCCAAAAAAAAAAAAAAAAACAACTACAAGTAAAGACAGTAGTGTGTGGGCACCACAGACAGAAAATATGTTAAGTGTCTTGGAGCCGTGTTTGTGTGTGTTGCCTGTGTGAGTGTCCACCGTGTGTGCCTGTGCCCTCAGGTCAGAAGAAACCCGTCCAATCCCTAGAACTGGAGCTACAGATGGTCATTAGCCACACTTAACTGCTGAAGCAGCCCCTCTCCCATTCAACTGTTTGAGAACCACATGGGATGATTTTCACAGCCTGGTGGGAGATGGGACTACAGGGACACAGCCCTAGCTATCTAGTCACTATGGTAAGAGCAGAAAGCACCTCCTACCTATGCTTAAGGTGTCCTAGGCAACCAAGCAGCATTGAGAGTGACTCTGAGCAGGCCTAAGGAGGCAAGGGTCCCAAAATGCCTGGGATCTGGAAAGAGTCACATTGACCTCTGTGTCTCTTCTCTTCCTGCCTATCTTCAGCCTCAGCTTGTATGCAAACATTGTCATCATGAGGCTACTGCTCTGTGAACTCTGACCCCATATGTCCTCTCCAAACCCAGTGCTACTCTATTAACTAGAAATCCACATCCAGATGTGTGATGTTCTGCCTCCTGTTTTGTGTTTGGAGACTGGTTCCTAATGGTACAGCCTAAACTGATTTGGAACTCAGGCTCCTGCCTCACTCCTGAATGCTGGGATTACAGGCACATGCTACAATGCCCACCTTGTTCCAAAGTTCTTTTCCTTGGTGTGCCAATGGGGATTAATCCTGTTGCCACCTGGCAGCTCTGCCCAGTATAGATGGCAGAGTGCATAGGGATGGAGGTTCCCACTTACTGAGTGGGCTCCAACCTCCTTTTACACCCTGGCTAGTGACCCAACCAAGTGTGGTGGGGATCCTGGCTGACCACATAGCTCAGGGCAAGGTATTGATAGAGGAGTATTATAAAGTAGGCCAAGATGACACTTAGGGAATGGAGGCAGGCCAGAGGTAGCTACAGGATTTGTGCTGTTGGCAGCAGGCACAAAACATAACTAATGGGTTTTGTTTGGTGCCTTTTAAGGGATTCATTTCGTTTAGGTTTTACCATGTGTGTGTTTTACCATGACTATCACCTCATATCTATAGGAAGGGGGTGCAGGAAACACTTTCTGGAAGTGTGATCAGAAGGGATCTCCCAAAATGCCCTGTGATCTTGAAATTCCTCTCAAGTAGTGGTTCTCAACCTTCCAAATGCTGTGACCCTGTACTATAGTTAATGTTGTGGTGACCCCAACCATAGAATTATTTTCATTGCTACTTCATAACTAATGTTGCTACTGTTAGGAGACCCAGTGTAAATAGCTGTGTTTTCCAGTGGTCTGTGAAGGGTCCAGTGACACCCCCAGGAGTCGTGACCTACCAGTTGAGGACCACTTCCCTAAAGGGATGAAAACAGATGGGGGAAAGGCTAAATGACAAAAAAGAAAACACAAAAGGCACCTAGTGTCCTCGGCACTGACAACTCCAGGACCACATCCTTAGATCTCACTCTTTTGTGATAAGCAGTAATCTGGCATCACCTGAGATTTCACCCAAGCAGATGCCTGCTCCCTAGGAATATGTAAATTGGAACCACAAGCTGCCTGGCTTGTGGTGCTTAAACCTTTGCAACACTCACTGCAACTCCTTTGGCTCCTCCACTGAAATATGGGCCATCCTAAAGCTTTGACAAGAGATCCAAGCTGTCCTTGGGTAAAGCTAGGCATCATTCTCATCCACCCTCCCCTTCCACAGGTGTGTGCTGTCTCACCCAGGAGGAGTACAGGGCACAAGTGGCCTCCAGGCAGAGGCACTCTGCCACCAGAGCCAACATAAGTGTTCCTGAAGAGTTTCCTTAAGCCCCTATCTTAAGACATCCAAGACAGAAGGCAAGTAAGCCCAACCATTGTTCAGGGAACGGGGAAGGGAAGTCAAAGTGAAACAAGGCAGTACTAGAGCCTCCAGAGCTACAGGAAAGCTTGGAAGCCCTGGAATCCAACAACAACCCAGCTAATTAGAAATCTAGGCAGAACTGGTGCATGTAAACCTGGAATCCCAGCACTCGGGAGGCAGAGGTAGGCAGATCTCTGTGAGTTCAAGGCCAGCCTGGTCTACAAAAAAAACTCTAGGTAGAAGGGGAGAGTTGACCATGTGAGCACAGATGGGCAGCAGGGTACACTTGCACCAACGTGCTTTGTGGGTTTCTGTGCACCAGTTGACCTATGGCAGACAAAGCCGCAAAGACCACAACATACCCATCTCGGTGGGCAACATCTCCAGGCCTGACTCTGGAGAAGTCATCCCTGCTGTGGTGACTGGCTCGGAAAAAAATAATAAATTTTTGGGTGGAGGGAGGTTGAAGAGATGGCTCAGTTGTTATGAGTACTTACTGCTCTTGCAGAGGACTCCAGATAGTTCCCACATCAGGAAGCTCACAACCACCTGTTTACTCCAGCTCTAGGGAAGCCAGCACCTCCATAAAGCACCAGGGGATCTTCTATCTCTGACCTCCAAGTGCACTCACCTGCACTCATGTGCACCTATCCAGGCACATAAACACACACACCTGCACATCGTTTTAGAAGTAATAGTTTAAAAAACACCTGCAAGAAGGCTGGTGAGATGGCTTAGCACATAATGCTTTTCCCGAGAATTGGAGTTTGGTTCTTTGCACCCATGTCAGACAGCTTACAGCTGCCTGTAATTTCAACTCTGACCTCCCTAAGCACCTACACTTATTGCATATATATATGTACACACACACACACACACACACACACATCCATACTTCTTCACACGCATAGAGAGAGAGAAAGGTAAAAAAAGCCAGGCCTGGTGGCACACACTTGTAATCCCAGCACTTGGGGAGGCAGAGGCAGATGGATCTCTGAGTTCAAGGGTAGCCTGGTCTACAAAGTGAGTTCCAGGACAGCCAGGGCTACACAGAGAAACCATGACTTGACCCCCCCCCCCCAAAAAAAAAAAAGGAAAAAAAAATGTAGGGCCAGCAAAATGGCTCTGAAAGTGAAGGTGCCTGGCAGCTACCAAACCTGAAGATTTGGGTTCAGTGCTGGGAACCCACATGATAAAAGGAGAAAACTGACTTCTCACACATTTTCCTCTGACCTCTACGTGTATGCCCCTGGCACAGGTATGCACATATACATACACACACAAAATAAAACTTAAAAATACAAAAACTTCTTTAGAAACTAGACCTGGTGCAAGCCTGTACCTGAGGCAGGAGAATCATATATTCAAGGCCTGCATGTACTACAAAGCAAATTCAACTCCAATCTGGCAATTTAGTAAAATCAATTTTTATTTTAGTAAAATAAAAAACGGAAAAAAAAAATCTGGGCAGTGCATATCTTTAATCCTAGCATTTGGGAGTCAGAGGCAGGCAGATCTCTGTGAGTTCGAGACCAGCCTGATCTACAAAGTGAGTTCCTGGTATACAAAGTGAGTTCCAGGACAGCCAGGGCTACACAGAGAAGCCCTGTCCCGAAAGGGGGAGGAGGACGAGGAAAAAAGAAAAAGGGAGAGAGAGAGAGAGGGAGGGCAGAGAGAAATAGAGGAAGAAAGAGAAAGAGAGAAAGAGAGAAAGAAAGAAAGGAAGGAAGGAAGGAAGGAAGGAAGGAAGGAAGGAAGGAAGGAAGAAAGAAAGACACACACCCTGGTGGTGTGGGACAGCCTTTCCAGGCCACAGAGGAGGACAATGCAGCCAGTCCTGATGAGACTTGATAAACTTGGGTCAGATGGAAGGGGAGGAGGACCTCCCCTATCAGTGAACTTGGAGAGGGGAATGGGAGGAAATTAGGGAGGGAGGGTGGGAATGGGAGAGAATGAGGGAGGGGTCTACAGTGAATAAATTATAATTAATATAAAAAATAAAAATTTAATTTAAAAAAGAAATCTAACATGAATATAATCTGGCTTTCTCATCAATTCCCATGGGAAGGCTATGGACAATAGCAACTTATTTTCACCTTTGGAAAAAAAAGAACAAAGGCCAGGAATGGTGGAGCACGGCTTTAATGTCAGCACTTGGAAGGCAGACGCCAGCAGATCTCGGTGAATTCAAGGCCAGCCTGGTTTACATAGTGAGTACAAGACAGCCTGGGCTATGCAGAGAAGCCGGGTCCTTAAAAATAAGAGTAGCCAGGTGTGTTGGCGCACGCCTGTAATCCCAGCAGTCAGGGAGTTAGACTTAGGCAGATCGCAGTGAGTGTGAGGCCAGCCTGGTCTACAAAGCAAGGCCAAGGCAGCCAAGGCTACACAGAAAAAATCCTGAATAATAATAATAATAATAATAATAATAATAATAATAATAATAATAATAATATAAAAATGAAATTAAGCTAGGTGGAGGGGTGGAGCACGACTTTAATCCCCCAATCAGAAGGTAGAGTTGGAGTTTAGCCTGGTGTACAGAGCAAGTTCCAGGACAGCCAATGGTACACAGAGAAATCCTGTTTGGAAAAACAAAAAAAAAAAAAAAAATCCAATCCAAAAGAAAAACGTTTCCGGAGGGCTCCTGAAGTCCCGCCCTCTTCATGCCCATGAGAGAACTACAACTTCCAGAGGGCTCTAGTCCCGGCCATCCTCGCCCCGGGCTCTCTGAGGACTCCATTTCCCAGCTATCCCGCTGCCGTGCAGCCTGGATTTGTAAACGCCCCCTCGCGGCGCAAAGCGGTGGCTGTAGTTCCCGGCGGCCCTCGCGGCAGGCTGAGGGCGTCAGGGAAGTTCGTGATGGCGGCGGCTGGTTCCGCTGCCGTGTCAGGGGCAGGGACCCCAGTGGCGGGGCCAACGGGCCGGGACCTTTTCGCCGAGGGTCTCCTGGAGTTCCTGCGACCCGCTGTGCAGCAGCTCGACTCTCACGTGCATGCGGTCAGGTGCTGGACCGGGCTGCCGGGGGCGGGGCCTTGGAAACCGGCTTTTTAGGGGCGGGGCCACGGAAAGAAGACTAGATGAGTTCTTGAGACAAACTGATGTTGAGGCTGGGTAAAAGAGGATGAAGGGCGCGGGTGAGGCTTGTAAGTTGAGGTTAGCTTGTCTCAGTACTTGGGGAATAAGTAGAGTTCGTTTCCCGCGTTCCGTTCACTGACCGTGTAGGCCTTTGTACTTCCTCACAGAGAAAGCCAGGTAGAGCTCCGGGAACAAATCGACAACCTAGCTACAGGTGAGTGAGCACCTGGAATACCTAGAACGCCTGAACTCACATCCAGGAGCTTTGTTTACCCAGGTTTTAGGCTAGCTTTCTGTCACTTGCTTCTCGATAGCAGAACTGCCCACGGGCTCAATTTCTGGAGCGGTTTTGGGACACAATGAAAGAAAGAAAGATGTCTGTAGCTCACACGAGTGTTTTTCATCCCATTCCTCTTTTACATTTCCTAAGAACAAAAAATGAGCCATTAGATGTTGGTTGCCCCTTTCCTCTTCCCAGAACTGTGCCGGATCAATGAGGATCAGAAGGTGGCCCTGGATCTGGACCCCTATGTTAAGAAGCTGCTTAATGCCAGGCGGCGAGTTGTCTTGGTCAACAATATTTTACAGAATGCCCAGGTAAACAAACAAACAAAAACAAAAAAAAACCTTCCTAACAGCACAGTGGTGCATGCTCTAATTTCAGCATTTGGTGGGCTAAGGCAAGAAGAATGGCCGGAACTTTAAGCATGGCCTGGACTACACAGGGACCATTAGCTTGGGCTATATAATATATAAGGCCCTCTCAAAAAAAAAATCTTAACAGTTATCCCGCATTATCCTTCACTGTGTTGAAGAAAACAGTGAAAGCCACCAGAAGTTTTAACTATGGGGGGAAAGAGTGGTGTTAACTAGTCTGATAATAAAGGCCCAAACTTCCCCATTACAGGGCTTCAGATTTAGGTTCTCTTGCATGCTAGACAAATGCCCGTAAATTTAATTATTAACTTCTGGTGGCTGTCATTTACAGGTTTATGTATACTTAAAGGACTGACTTTAAGGGAGCCTAAGCCACTAGAGAGATGGCTCAGAGGTTAAGATCACTGTCTGTTCTTCCAAGGGTCCTGAGTTCAGTTTTCAGCAACCTCATGGTGGCTCATAGCCCTCTTTAGTGAGATCTGGTGCTCTCTTCTGGCGTGCAGGCAGAATGTATTATAAATCGTAACTAAGAAATTAGAGAGAGAACACCGAAATCAGTGGGGCAGTGGTGGCGCTCCCAGCACCTGGAAGCCAGGGACAGGTAAACCTGAGTTTGAGGCCAAACTGGTTTCCAGAGCGAGTTCCAGGGCTACAGAGAAAACCTGTCTCAGGTGGGGAAAAAGAGCCCAAGCCTAAGATAATCTTTCAGTACCTACTTGACTCAGATAAAACCTTTTGCAGCAGTCATTGTCTTTCTGTCTTGTAGGAACGACTAAGGCGGTTAAACCACAGTGTTGCCAAGGAAACAGCTCGAAGGAGAGCAATGCTGGATTCAGGAGTTTACCCTCCTGGTTCCCCAAGCAAATAAGCATGGGCCTGTGACCTGAATGTCCAAGTACTGTTCTCCAGCTGCCTTGTTTGGTAGATGTGAGAAGATTTCAGGAGTCTCTGAAGACCTTTGGTTTGTGTAAACTATGTAATTATTCAGCAGTCTCAGGAAACGTGCACAGTAGGACTGTTTCCTGAAGAACCTCCATTACAGCTTGTCCTTCCAAGAATGAGCCTCTACCTTTCGGTTTTTGTTTTGAAACAAGCTCTCAGCTTGCAGTTCAGGCAGGCCTCAAACATTAGTCTTCTTGCCTTAGCCTCCTGAATGCTGTGACTATAGACGTGCCAGGGTGCCTGGCTCAAACCTCTATACATTTCCCCCAGAGAACATTAAGTAGGTTAGGCATCATGTGTTAGGCAGTTCAGAAAACAGCAGATTTGGGGTCAAACATACTTCCACTTCCCCCTCCTCTCACTAGTTCCTTGGGGAAGGTAGTAACCCTTCCAGTCATCCTACACATATATTTTTAATGTTTAGGTTATTAGCTCTTAGCCAGTATCACAACTGTTGCCTTTATTACTGTCCAGGAGAACATGACAAATAACACGAGATTCCAAGGTCTTAAGGGCAGAGCCTAGACAGCTGAGAGTCCCTAAGCTTCTGTGGTATTTTTGTTTAGGCTATGTAATTTAAAGGCTGTTGGGATGGCTCAGAGGTTAAGAGCACTAGCTGTTCTTTCAGGTGGATTTCAGATCCTAGCACCTACGTGGTCACTCACAAGAGCCTGTAACTCAAGTTCTAGGAGAATCCAGTGACCTCTATTCTGGCCTTTTTGGGTACAACACACACATGCAGACAAAATGTCCATTCACATAAAAACCTAAAGCTACATATTTGAGTCCCACCCTGTCCAGGCCTAGGTAACCAGTGTTGACGACACTGTTACTCTTATTACTTGAGCCTGGGCAAGGTTTTCTTGTGACTTCACTTGCCTTGTTTACAACTGAAGACTTAGGCAAAGTCAAGGTAAATACTTCATCCTCTTCACTACCTGGGCTTGAATATGTTATTGTTCAGCATATTAAATAAATGCTTGTATTGGTTATTTTAACAAAAAATAACCAATGTTTTGTTTTATGGTTTCAAAGGGTTCAGACCATGGTCACCTTGATCCATGTGAGGTAATCAAGCTTCCATCTCATGCAAAGTTAGAGACAGGAATGCTGGGATTCTGCCTGCTTTCTCTTCTATCCCTTTCTAAGCATCCAGCACCTAGGATGCATTCACCCACATTTAGGGTTACTCCTCTGCAAACAATCCAGGTATCTTGGGCCAAGGTGACATGATAATTAACCATCAGTGTTTAAATGGTATTCCAGTTTACTCTCAAATACAGGAGGATTCCAGGAGTCCATTACTTTTAATCCACATAGCTTGAAATAGCAATCTCAGTGCTTATAATAAAAGATTCAACTTGAATTCTAATCAAGTGTATAGAAGGCAAAAATGGTTGCTACATATTGAAGAAAAATAAACCAAAAGCCCTACTAGGAAGTACTTTAATCATTTTTTCTTAGAAAAAAAATCCTGACACTTAATAGTTTACAACATTTCAACAAAAAGTACTGGTTGGGAGTGGTTAGGTTTAAATATTGGGAATGTGGCATTCTACTTCATCACAGATGAACGGATGGTATATGCAGTCACAAATGGGAGACCTCTATCTGCTTGGCCACTATCAAAACAGTGGAATGACGTTTCTTTACGATTTGTTTTCCTTCCTGCTATCACCTATGCCACAGAAATGCCACCATATAAAGCCCCGTGGCGGCTGGCTTAGGCTCTTCTTCCCTCGGGCAGAAAAGAGTAAAGGGAAGGTCACTCCTGAGTCTCCATGCTCTCTTCTTCTTCCCCTTGAGGTGGCTCTTCCGTATTCTCCTCCTCCTCCTCTCCCTCCTTCTTCTCAGGTGGCTTCTCATAAGCCTTTTCTGAAGGTGTCACAATCACTCCATCCCAGGTAGATATTTCAGAAGCAAGATCTGGAAGTGACAGGGATTTAAAAAAAAAAAAAAAAACCCAGTTCATACAAATAGCCCAGAAAACAAGCTAGGCTATTCCCATACATATTAGGACACCTTAAGCAAGACAGCTTCTCTACAGATCAGAACCCCTAGACCACACCAGAGATAACTCACAGCTGGCATCCCCCTCCTGGCCAAGGATCTTCCTAAAGCCTCCATGGGAGAGAATTCGAACCAGAGTCTGAGCTGTGTAGCAGACCATATCCTCAAAAACAAGGAGGGGAAAATGAGCCAAAATAAGCACACTATACATGACTAAGACCCATGTGAATAAGGTGAAGACATTTTTTTTTTTTTAATCTCAAGGATCCCCTGGTCCTTTGCCTTCTGGCCAAAACCCCATTTCATAGTTGTGTTAATACCTGCTGTTCTAGGGTCATGACTGTGTGTACCCTGAAGTTACCACTCTCACAGGGGTCAGTGATGCCCACTGACCCTGGCAGAAACAGTCCTGCAGCCAAAATCTGCAAGCAGCGCCTGAAACATAAACACACTTAGAAACAAATCACACAAAACAGCTTACAACCAAACCCAGAGGAGCGAGTTATACCTGTATGCCACATTCAGGGCCAAAGGCTGTCTGGTGGGATTATTCATCACAGCATAGTGCCCCTGGAAGAGAGTGAATCTGGTAGGTATGCTACCAACTGGCAATTCTATGTTCAAACAAACTACACCTTCAAGCTGTGACGAAAACTAGTCCTAACAATAATGAGCTGATCGCAGTAACTATTTCCACTGAATACTAAAACCTCAATGAAGCAGTGAACTTTCAATCTTCCCAGACTGTTCGCCTACTAAACTTTTGTTTTGTTGTTAAGACAGGGTCTCCCTTAATCACCTGGATCTCATACCACTCCTGCCTCAGCCTCCTTAAGACTGACCAAAATTTCTCTTAAACCTCATTGATATCGGTGGTTTAAGAGTAATCAAGCTAGCTGTGCACAGTGGCACACACCTTAAATTCTGGCAGAGGCAGGCAGATCTCTGAATTTGAAGCCAACCAGGTCTACCGAGTGAGTTCCAGAACAGCCAGGGCTACACAAAGAAACTCGGTCTCAAAAAAAAAAAAAAAAAAAGATTCAAGCTGGAGGCAAAGGCAATGGATCTGGGTTCAAGGCCAGTCTGATCTACAAATCGAGTTCTACTGATAACCAGAGGAAACCCTGACTCAAAAAATGAATGAATGAATGAACAATAGATGAAGAGTGACTCAAACACACCCTTGTTCCTTTCTGCAGTGCTGGCAATTGAATCAGGAACCTCTCACATACCGGACAAGCACTTTACACAGAGCTACACCCTCAGCCATCCCTTTTCACTTACAAGTAGGTCAAGGATCCAGGGTGTGAGAGGCTCAAAGCCAGGAAAACGAATCCGTAAGTCCTTCAGCAATCGGATGAGAACTTTAACTCTGAATGTAAGAGAGCCAGTGGTTAGAGTAGTTGATCTGAGGAGTCAGATGGATGCTCTTTCATGAACTACCCATACAGTGCCCACCAGCTGCTCAGCAGAGAAAAGCATTTGTCCCATAAGTCTGACAAACCTGAGCTCAGTCCCCAACACTCACATGAGAGAACTCCTTAAACTTGTCCTCAGGCTACATGACTCTGAAGTGCACACACCCATGCAGGCACACACAAAATATCAATTTATGCTCCTTCAATCTTGTTTATACTCACGTAAAACTCAAAGCCCAAACATCACATCTGAAATAGTTCTGTCTGAGGAAGTAGGGGCTGGGAAGTATGTGTTACTATTACTCTTATACAAATGACCAATGAGACTCACGTGGACTGAGAAGCATTTTCTTCAAACCAGCGGGCATGTCGGATGGCTGCTAAGGCACTCTGCAACACCTTAATGTCCACTGAAGACAAGTACAACAGGCTAAGTGTCAACTCAGCAACCCCAATACCCAGCTGGAAATGTGCAAAGCTACAGCAGCCAGCTGTCCTATGTTGCAGTGTCATGACACTTGTCCAAACACCACCATTTCTCTCTAGGCAACTGTGAAAACAGGCAATATGCACATCTTTTTCCAATAGTCAATTTCCCTTCACAAACATTTATACTGGCTTTTACTTTTTACCTTTTTTAAGATTTTTTTTCTTCTGCAATCCTTTTCTTTTTTTATAATTAACTAACTAGTCTTAAAGTATTTATTTTGGGTTTTTCAAAACAGGATTGGTTTCTCTGTGTAGCCCTGACTGTCCTGGAACTTGCTTTGTAGAACAAGCTGTCCTTGAACTTACAGAGATCCGCCTGCCTCTGCCTCCCAAATGCAGGGATTAAGGCTCACACCACAATGCCCCCGGCTAATAATTTATTGTTTGTTAAAGATTTATTTATTTTATGTTAATGAATGCTCTGCATGTACACCTGCATGCCAGAAGAGGGCATCAGATCCCAGTATCAATGGCTATGAGCCACCATGTGTTACCTGGCAATTGATTTCAGAACCTCTGGAAGGGTGCTCTTAACCGCTGAACCACCTTTCCAGCCCTAATAATTTATTTTTATTTCATGTGCATTGGTGTTTTGCCTATATATATGTCTGGGTGAGGGTTTCAGATGCTAGAACTACAAAGAGTAGTGAGCTGCCATGTGGGTGCTAGGAATTGAACCCAGGTTCTCTAGAAGAATACTCAGTGCTCTTAACCTCTGAACCATCTCTCCAGCCCTTTCTGCAATCCTTTTTAATGCTTTGAAAACTCACCAGGAAGCTGGTAAAACTACTTACAAACTATGAGGAAAGGAAAACTCCTTCACAGTGACTAAACACTAAGATTTCCAGAAAGCTTCAAAGCTTTGGGTATCCAGCTGTCTGTCTCACCCCACCCCAATACTTCTAACAACGGGGAGAGGGAGAGACTTACAATGGAGTTCTGGATCCAGTTTTCGGAGATTAGGTGGCACTGTTGTAATGAGAATTTTCACTGTAGCATCAGAAGAGCTAATTTCAAAGCCAGTTTCATTAGTCAGCATGGTCAAAACTAAAAGAACAAAATAATAAAAAAAATGTAAAACATACTTGTTCTGTTTTGCTTTTTTTAAGAAAATTACGTTTAGGGGGCTGGAGAGATGACTCAGAGGTTAAGAACACTGCTTGCTCTCCCAGAGGTCCTGAGTTCAATTCCCAGCAACCACATGGCGGCTCATAACCGTCTATAATGAGATCTGGTGTCATCTTCTGGCATTCAGGTATACATGCAGGCAAAACATTGTATACACAATAAATAAATATTAAAAAAAGAAAATTACGTTTATTTAGAGTGTGAGAGTAGGAACTCTCAGCACACCTACAGGAATCAGTTCTCTCCTCCCACCGTGCAGGTCCCAGGGAATGAACTCAGGTCATCTAGGCTTGGTGGTGCCTTCACCCACTGAGCCATCAAGCTTTTGAGACAAGACCTCATGTAGCTCAGGCTGCTTCCCAACACATCAAGTAGCCAAGGATGACTTTGAACTCCTTATCCTCCTTCCTCCACCAACTAGTCTTGAGTCTGAATGTACCACCAAACCTGGTATATGTAATTCTAAACATTGATCTTAGAACTTCACACACGCTAGACACACACTCTACCAGCTGAGCTCTATCTCCCCAGTCTTCTTTTTATTTGTCATAAGGTCTTACCATGTGTATAGTTCAGGCTGGCCAATCCCCTTGCCCCAGCTTCCCAAATGTGGGGTTATAGGTGTGCCACACCTGGTTTATCAGGTAGGTTTTTGGATAGTGGGTTAGTTTTTTGTTTGTTTGTTTAAGATAGATAGATAAATAGATAGATAGATAGATAGATAGATAGATAGATAGATAGATAGATAGATAGATAGATTTATTTATTTATATAGTGTTCTATCTACATTTGTGCCTGCAGGCACCAGATCTTTCTTATTTATTTATTTATTTATTTATTTATTTATTTATTTATTTAGTGTTCTATCTACATTTGTGCCTGCAGGCACCAGATCTTGTTACAGATGGTTGTGTTGTGAGCCACCATATGGTTGCCGGGAATTGAACTCAGGACCTTTGGAAG